TGTGTTTTCTGTCTGCTCCACCTGGTCAGGCTGACAGCTGAGCTACTGACCCTCTTCCATTCCTCCTCAGTAACCAGCATAAATTAAGGGATCTCCAAATTCCAGTCTTTGGGAAGCCGTGGCCACCGCCCAGGTTTCACCTCCAGCATTCAAATAATCAGCTCTGGCTCCTAGTAGCTTTCCCCCCAAGACCAATATGGAAATAATGTCTGGAAGGGATCAAATGCTTTTTGGAGACAAAAGTAGGTACAGGGAACATTGCAGAATGCTCTTATCTCCCCACGATACTTTTACACAATGCATTCTGTTTCTCTTTTGGCCTGACACACTTTCTGCCAGATAAAATCCCCCAGGCCTACTTGTTTTAAACAAGGACCACGTTCTCTCCCTCTCTTCCTCTCCTCCCTCCCTCCCTCCCTCTCTCTCTCTTTCTCTCTCTCTCTCAATGAAGTGTAAAATTAATGCTTATTATTCCAAACTTGGGAGACGAAGAAAGAGACCTTAAGAATCTCTTATTGGGAAAAACCATGTGTGTTCAGCTCTGAACCAACAGATCCGCCAGGAGATTGCAGGTTTAAGGTTTAGTTTTATTGGATTTATATGCCGCCCTTCTCCCAAGGACTCAGGGCGGCGTACAACATAAAAGAAAACACATATTACAAAAATTAAAAGGGACATTAAATAAGGTATAAAAAAACCAATTGATATTTACAATAAAAATTTAAAAATTAAATTAAAATTAACAACCAAATTAATCCTATGTTTTATTCAAATGACTTTTATTCAAAGGGGCGGAACGCTGGAAGGCAGGCACAGCGAGGGGAGAGAAGCTTGCTTTTCATGTCAAAAATGAGAAGGATTGCCTATCGTACACCTATTAGATTGGTCTCTCTTATAAGAATCTGCTGAGCTGGCTTTTCTCCTCCTTTCTATATTTCTCCCTCCCAGTTAGGGGAATAAATAAAGGTAAAAGCTCCCCTCGCACATATGTGCTAGTCGTTCCCGACTCTAGGGAGCAGTGCACATCTCCGTTTCAAAGCCGAAGAGCCAGCGTTTTCCAAAGACGTCTCCGTGGTCATGTGGCTGGCAT